CTCCGTACCCACCGGGTGGGGATCACGCAAGTGAGACAGTTGCCACCGATCGGACGGGACGGAAGAGAAAGGCTTCGGGGATGGGGAAGGGGGCGAATGAAGGAAAACCCTTCGACGGGCTCGGTAGGATCGGGGAAGTCGACCGGCGAGGAAATTCGGGCACAAAACTCAAGTGGGAACGCAGGAGTGAAAAAAACAGTACTCAGGAAGGAACAAGGAGTAGGAGGATCTTGGGGAAGAGCAGCAGGGTAAAGGATGCGGTGCTCGTGCTATAGACTGGAGGGAACGACGACAGGGAGGACGGTGGCGGCGGTAGCAGCGGTGCTTTCGTCGACCAGGATCGACGAAGGGGGTGTGAAGAGCAAGCGCGAAGGATGCAATCGAGAGGAGCGACCGACTGGGCAACCAACGAAAGGATGACATCAACGGTGGCGATTTGTAACAAACAGCCACATCATTCAGCTGGAGGGATGCCGATGCGACTGCAGCCGCCCGCCGCATGGGGGGCGGATGAACTGACGAGGAAGAGGGTTGGTTCGTTGTTCAAATGGCTTTTTTCCGATGCTAGTGATGGTGGTGGAGTTGCTCCTCGAAGTGTTGTGTTGTTCAAGAGCGCATTCGTGGGATATTTTTTGAAGCTGCTGATGCTGTTCTGCATCTAATGACTCATCGGAGGAGAGCCAACCAAGCGGCCGACCAGGCGAGCAAGCAAGCAAGGGAGCAGCTAGACAGACAGGGAAGGCAAGGAAAAAACAGCGGCAGTAGCGGCGGCGACCGACTCAAGGAGCAACCCCATTCGAACTTCTCAAAAACCCAACCTTTGCTTCCTGGTGAAGCAACTAAAGAAAAACAGCGGGACCGAGGCAGCCGCGCCAGCATGAATGCGTGCTAGCTAGACATCCTCTAATGCCATGAGGAAAAACAGATCCACTCCGAGCAAGACACAAGAGGAATAGCGGAAATACAGGGAGTGCTGTGGCAGCGAGGATTCTCTTTCGTTCTTCCCCCGGCTCACTTGTTCTCCCAGGACGCACGGTATCCGCGATGAAAAAAACACAAATGATGAACTCGCGAGTAGTCATTCGTTGCTTCCCAGTTCGAACGGAGCTCGGGTTGATGGACGTCGGCCTCGTCGTCGCCACCTATCCGAACCAATTTGCTCCCAAACAGCGCGAATTCGATCCATTTTCTCTGTCTCCTTTGATGAAGCCGTCTTCTGCGGGTTAGTCCGCATCTAAGCAGACCATAGGTCCAAGTCCGCTGATTGAGACCGATGAGCTCTTTCCGACTCCAGGAATCCGTCGGTGGAAAATCAAGGGGAGAGAGAGTTTCCTCAGCAGAAAATCTATTTGATTCGGTGCCTATGCGCTCAGAAGAATCATTGAGAGAAATACATCGAACAATGATCTGACCACAGACTCCTCGACAGATTGTTCCCGAGGTATCTTGAGGCCATGTAGGTTTCCGATGGAAAGTCCCTCTGACAGAAATGCTCGATGACAGACCTACTCCAAGAACATCGAGTCTCGAGGAGTCAGTGGTCGACAGAGAGAAAGGGTGCTGCTTTCACTCCTTGCGAGAGCAGGCTTTCCACTCCTGAGAGTCGTCTCGATTCTCGTGAACTTCCCCACGTGAGAAGGCGTCGCATCTTCTGAGCGGAATTCCCCAGCGATAGAATCAGTGGCGCTCAGAGACGAGGCTAACTCGAAACCAGGATGTATAGAGCCGGCATCCGCCCCAAGAGACCTCCGGAAGGAATGCGAGTGCTTCTATACGTTCGAACGATATGCTCATATCTCTACTATGGGTGAATCAATCGGAATGCAACACCTGAGAGTGGGGGCGAGACCGCTGCGGCTCGATCTCGGAATCCGACTTATTGAGACTCATTTCTCGGTGGCTTCGAGGTTTGGGTGGATTTCTTGAAGGCTGTAGTCCAAATCATGCGATAGTGCTGATATATGGTCCTAGATCGGCGACGTCAACGCTGCCGATTCCCCGGACGACGTCCTCGAATACGGACAGACGGGCAGCATAGTTTATCATCAAGCCTTTAGAGGGAGGTCCTTCTTCCTTCATGGATGTTTAGGAGCCCGCCGTCGATTGTCATGGCCGTGTCTCCTCACATTGGCACGACTGCGCGCGGTCGCGCGAAAACTCACATCCTTCGAGCTCGCGCAGATGTGGAGTTCGTTCCCTGCGACTAACGATTTCCATTAGGGTTCTGCTCGCATAATCAGTTGGTTAAAAATCGCCACCCCACCGGCGGCGCTCTGCGCAACCCCTGCCCGAAGCACTCCGAGGGTGTACCGACCGCCCCTCGCCGGCTTCGTGCTCGACTACCCGCCCGCCCGTTCGCCCGCCTGCCCGCTGGACCGATCGTCCGTCTGCTCGCACGCTACCCACCCGCCCGTCAGCGTTTTCCACGCAGAACTCGGACGGTCTTCCGGAACCGGACCGGAATTACGGACAGGACAGAACATGCCCTGCTCCCTATGGGATTCGAGTTGAACTCGAGCTGTGTCGTCCCACGCCAAAAAACTTGTCGAGGTAAAGCCCGACAATTCGGACGACGATCCGTTTATTGTCGGAACGACGCCGCGACGACAGTCCGAAGAGTAAGATGTCCTGCGACGGGTTTGGCATCCGCTACAGGGTTGGTTTGTTGCCTCAAGTGTTGCCGGTCCGTTCGCCGGTGAGGACGCTCGGGGGTGAGCGGGTGAGCGAGGATTCGAGGGGCTCGGCAGTGGCTCCCTCAGACGACTGAGCCTGGCGAACTCGTGGAGAAGGTCAGACCGAGTTGGGACCCCGTACAAGTTGGTTGGTCTCTCGGTCGGTCGTTCGCCTGTCCGCTTGCCTGCTGGTCCCTGAGCCAAGTGCCTAGTGAGTGTGGTTTTACGTAGATGTCGTGCCGAGCACGTCTCGCGCGGTACGCAACGCGTTTGTGCATATTCGCTGGAATAGTTGTGTGTGTTGTTTTTTCTTCGAATGCTCTCGAATCGGATACCGACAGTGTCATGAGGAACGCGCGCGAGCGGTGAACTTCAGGGCATGGAATATGGGAAAGAGTGAGCCGGATACGTCTAAAGTAGGACAACAATATGGAGGCTCAGAGTGTGGTCGCTTTTCGCCGATAACCTGTTGGGTCCCGAAGCCGTTACATCTCTTCGCCGACCAATGACTCCATGCGAATAGGAGGACGGGCTCAACTTTCACCCGTGTCTTTTCGCGGAAAAAAACATTCTCAGCCGAGAGACCTCGAAGGAGCACGAGAGGCTGTTGAACTCTGGCGTGAAGCTGACAGACTCATATGCCGCTGAATGGCTTGCATTATTCGGTTTTCCACGCGGGAAACAATCTTGCAATTTGTATCCATAGAGGCGGCGTTCATTTCATGTGATATCCAGTGGAGAGAATTCGCGAGGATGGAGTGTTTTTCCGTTTCAATCGGTTGAGATTTCCATTGGGGAATCTCAGGACCGTGTTGCCGGCTCTGGCGCACATTGAAAACCCCACGGAGAAATCTCCGAAACTCTATCGGATCACCAAAGCTTGAGAGCTGGTTGGATTCCGGAGTGGTTCAAGAGGGGGGCTCCAGGACTTCCCGGGAATACCGACAGACTTTTTTTTCGAAGCATACGAAGCGTTCGTGAACTGAAATGAGCCTTCGTCGGAGTACGTGCCTGACCTCTGTCGAAGCTCCATTTGAGTCGTTTCTCGAGATGAGGAAGTCATTGGAATGAACACGGAAATTCGAAATCCCTATGTGCGAAATCTTCATGCCCCTCCGAGAAGTGACCGTTGATCAACGCTACTCGAACGTTTACTGAGGATCTATGGAACCGGTCCCAGTGTGATATGCATTCGTATACATGCTGATAAGTCTGCGGGATCAGCAATAAAAACCAACATCGGAGTCGACAGCGAAGGAGCGTGCGGTCGATGGCTTTGATTATTCTTGGAAGAGTCGGATAAAAATTTCCGGTGTCAAGTCGACAATGAATTACTATATAGGAATCAACGCGTCGCGAGATTTCTAGAGGTTCGGAGAATTTCTGGAATATAAATAAGACTTAAATCTTCTTTCCAACGGCGGTGCGCTCGCCTCGTGGGTGGCGGAGCTTCCATGGCGGACCAGCTTCGTTACCGTCCCTGAAATCTAGAAAGCGACGGATTTTCTCTTCGGATCAAAGTTTTTCATCACGGTTTCATGTGAGCTTCCGATCCTTTTTGAGGTGTCTTAACACATGAACGATTGCTGCGCTATCGATTGGAATTCCGAAAGCCCGTCTTCGATAATGTTCTGGTTTCGAGCATTCATCACTTGGCGAAAGCCTGATCGAAAGTGCAAATCACGAATCAATCATCTCCAATGTGAGCGACCGGCACCCATGAATCCTATGGCTTGTGCCTAATGATGCACGAGCCGCAGAAAGTCTCATTGGAATTTCTCGTTTCTCAACGATGGGGGGGGGGGGTATCTTTTCGATCCGGAAGACTCGTGGAGAAAAATGTTTTTTGAACCTCGGTGGTTCGAACATCGGAGTCTTAGGAGATCATCCGACCGCTTTCTATACTGGCTGGGGAATGAGTTCGATTGATTTCGGGCTGATACGATCAATGATCATGAACGGATTCGAAACCAATCATCAAAGGTCTCGGATACCCTCTCTCAACGAATTGACTGAGGTAGATTTCACAGCATCATTCATTAAATGAGGAAGTAACTCTGATTTCTTATTTTTCAGAGGGAGTAGCACGGGCGAAATGTAAGCCAAGGGTGCGATTGTTGGCTGGTTTAGGTTTGAGACTTCTGGAAGTGAGTATGATTTTATTTTCCCCTCGAGTCGATGCTTATATTTCATCCCGTATGGTTCATAGACTGACGATAGGAGGTCAAGATGATGCCAGGCCGAAGATGACGTGACGAGAGAAACCTCACCTCGTTTCAGACTGAGTGCGGGATAGTGGAGACGAGTGTGCAGGACGAAGGGATAGTTATGAAGCGAGAGATTTTGGACAAAATGAGAATGGCTTCACACAGATTCACGATTGAGCAGTTTGAGCTGCTTCGGCGGCTGAGAGCGTCAGGAATAACGAAGGACGAAGTTGTATTGGCTTTTGAGAACTTCGACAGAGTGGAATGGGAACTCCAGGTTGGTAGGGTTAGTATTGCGTCCGCATTTCCTTGTTATTGCGACTAAACATTATGTCCTGCCTCGCAACCTTAAGACGTGCCGGAGAATCTGCTTGGATTCGCGGCAGCAGAGACTGGAGGCTCCACGAAAAGTTTGTCTCTGCATGTCTTCACCCCCTATACGATCCGATGACGATGAGCATGTTTCTTTCCCGAAGAATTCCCGTTTCTGGGAATTGCGAGCCGAGCAAAAGTTCTCCCGCTCCAGAGATGGCTCGAGAGGCGACATGGACTTCAAACTCGTTCACACCTTGATATCCCTTCCAGAACATGCAGGGCCTGTTGCGAAGTAACAACGGTGGGAGGCTGAGCGTATCAGCGACGAGTCCGCCCCAGATCAATGGGGGCCGGATGCCGATGCATGTTAGAGATACAGAGCGAACCCTCTCCTCGGAAAAGGAGCACCACCATCATCCGAACGGTGAGCTGAAAAATCTCGAGATCGCACTGTGTCGACCTCCGGCGCCGAAGTGGCTCGAGGACGCTGGGGTGACAACTGTGCTCGCCATGACGATCTGCGCTTTTTCAGGCAACGGTACGCACGGCGAGCACAACGGACGACCGAAGTCGTCGGCGCAGAGTACGGGCGCATGCAGCGTGTCGTCGAACGAAGACAGCTCGGCGACGGAAGGACGCGAGCAGATGACTCCCCCTCTTCGATTGACGAACAAAACACCACCTCCGCACCGCGGTTCGACTGACAGTTCATCGTTGCTCCCCTCGATGCTGGGGGCTACCGATAGCGACAGTATTCAAGCCACAGCGGCAGCATTGTTCGCCTCATTACCATTGATGGCAACTCCGCATGCTCCGCATACGCCCAACAGCATACCCAACAGCCAACTCGCCGTTGTCGCTCCGCAAACACCCGTTTCATGGAGCGGCGATAGTGGTTCTATGGTGCCTTACCTCCCAGACGAATATTGCTCACCGGATGTTGAAAAACTCAAACGCAAAGGCGAAGAAGCCCTTCTCAGTGAGATACGCAGCTTCGTCATGCAATACAACATCAAGCAGACGATGATTGCCGAAATGACGAAGATGTCGCAAGCCTACGTGAGCCGGTTTTTCCGTGGAGACATCGTCGACATGTCGGAGCGAACGAAGAATACCTTCTACCAATGGTACTTGACGTGTAAAAACAATCCGCTGAAATATGGTGAGTCCGATAACAATCCAAGCAGTTGTCGCAAATCATTCTATCCCTATCGAGCTCCCTCATTCGTGATGCTTATCGATCCGTCCGTCGGTAGATGGCGTCGGATCGAAAAGTGTATCCGGAATACAAACTCAAGGTGTTTTCACTTTCCGTACAGCTTCGCATCCGGGAGTGAAACGAATGGTTAGCGAGAACGGTGACCTGATACCTTTGAAACGAGAACGATTCACATTCAAAAGTGCCCATTTGGCGGTTTTGGAGCGTTACTACGAACGCGACCCATACCCCGACGGACAGACGAGAGAGCAGATCGTAGATGAGTGCAACGCGGCCGTAGAGCGTCCCGATCGTCCTTTATCCGATCGGGAGAAAGTCAGCCTGCCTGTCGTTAACAACTGGTTCAACAATCGAAGAAAAGAAGCCAAGAAACAAATGCGACAACAGCACGGTAAGCAATCTGCCACCCCCTCCCCCATCTGTTTGTTGGTCGTCGCTCCCCTCCTCTCGTTCGGCGCAAGACGAGTCACCCGACCCATTGGGATCATCTTGCGGATTGGGAACCAATGCGGGACCTCGGGACCTCAGAGAAATCTCACACGTCGACCCCTCGTTCGACGTCGGGCCCCTGATCCTTCTTGACGAATCAAGTGAATCATATTGTTATTCGATTGCAGCCGTGGCCCAACAAGAAGCGGCGACGGCTCCCGCTTTTGCGGCGGGAGCGGCTCTGCTCGCCATGCAACAGGGTTGGCAACAACAGCTCCTGCAAAACAATTTGTCGGTTTTCGCGGGTGCGGCGGGTCAACCAGGTGCGTCGCCACCTCCCCAGCCGCAGCCCTTGAGTCTTCAACCGCCAATGGACGATGACGATTCGAGAGGAAGTTATTCTATTCCTGAAGAAGCGATGGCAATCGATTTCTCTGAAGGTGGGGCTGCCGCTAGAGAACGCGAAGCCAGCAAAGTGAACGAGCTCAAGATCAAGCAGGAAGCGTGAGTATCCCGAACCGGAATCTTCCCTCCCCAATCTTTCAATGCGAGCCCCTGTGCCTTGATGAGAGAAAAATTTCGTTACCCTGTATCTCACGAAACGCTCGACTCTAAAATGCGTATTCTCTTTGCAGTGTCTCGTAGACGTGGGAGTCGAGGTGCAATGTTGTTGGAGCCACGCGGCTGTATGTGTATATTTATAAATTTGAAGGAAGCGAAGGAAAGCCAGGCGATCGAATCATGATAAGCGTCGTGAATGTGATCATGATGGAGATCGAGCCGAGGAAAGAGACCATTCAGGAGAAAGGAAATGCAAGAAACTAACGTCGTTGTCGCCATCCTTCGCGGATCAACGGAGCCATCCATGTGTTCAGCTGATATTGGATTGATGAACGAGTTATTTACTTTAGAGAGAGAGAGAGAGGGAGCGTAAGAACTGCAAGCCACGAAAGCAACCGAACGATGAAGAGAAAGGAAAGGATGGAGAGTTATTTCAAAAGTCACTGAATGAAACCCAAAGTATGCTCAATATTTTCACCACAAACTGACAGACGGACGAATTCACGGCACGTGACTTGAGATGATCATCTACCGCACCATTCAGAGCAAGAGAAAATCATTCGCACCTGAACGAGATAATTTCAGGCATTGGAATTCCTAATTGCCCGGGAAGACGATCGTGCCAAGCCGTGAATCGTTCCTGTACCGAACGCGCTTAAATATTTTTGTACAAAACTTTTTATCTCTCCTATCTCACTATCTTCCTCGCCCATCCAATCCCTCTGATTGATGATATTTTCATGCGCGACCTGAAAATAAGGCCTGACGAAAACTTTGTTTTCTCCACGACGCGAGAACTCACTGAACGCGAAGAAACACTACCGCAAGCCTTTCTTACACGGGCTCGATGGTCTCGCGCAACCTCCTGATCGACCAACGAAACGAACGCGACGAAATTCCGCGATCGGAGAATCAATCGAAGCGCCCCACGATCTCGGGTCGGGACGATTCATTCATCGATCTGCGAGACATTGAGTCTGTTTTCTCTTCGTTCTTTCATGTCATCTCAATCACTCGATCATCAGCCGAAAAATCAGCATTCATCCGGAAGAGGTCGAAAAACGAAGCAGTTAATTCTCCGGGCAGCCCTTTCTACATGGTCTGTTCGATAAAACCAGTCGATCGACGGAGACAGACTTGACTGGTGAAAGTAGCGCGCGTGTAGGTATCCCTCAAAATCTCAATGGCGATTACATCAGACCAATCCGAGGAACCTTGTACATTGCCGGGAGAGCCGAGAGGGCTTGATCTGAGATGAATGTTATGTTGTGTTTAATTTTCATTGATATCGGTATGGATTCAGCCTATTTATTACTGCTGTCATAATAATTTTTGTCCATTATCATTGAGTCGCCGTGATGAACATGATAATCGTGACGGCTCGGAGCTCCACCAGCTTCAGAGCTGATCGGCTGGAATCTTGTGGTAGGAGTCGTGACGCTGTCATACCATACTATAAGTACTCTTATGTAACATGCGTGGCCGAACAAGCGAGTGATTGTGAGTGAGTGTTTGACGTTCTACCGCGGAGAAAATACACAGCAAGAGGCATAAAACCGTTTCGGCTCGATGCGATCCGCCGTTTTGAAGATCAGATTTGAAGACTACGTTTTACCCTACGGGGAGAGAACACTAACTTAATATTTTCTACCTACAATCAGATAGTTTCTTGAGAGTCTTGAAGAGGCGTTGGGGCAGGAAAATCTATTGTGGGAGAGTTCTCCAAGCGTCGCCTTTTTCTCGGATTTTCCTTTTCAATGAAACGTGCTTTATTTTGGAAGAAAGGAGGCAACAAGAGAGATTTCGAAAAGCAGAGAAGCTGTCTCAGAGGGATCGTCGAAGATCAATATTATATGGAGAAGACGGAGGAAAAAATAAACTCTAATTATTTACAAAGCAGCTCCAAACCGCTCTTGAAAACTCTACGGGACCCCACGGCTCAAGTTTTCTGCTTGCTCGTCAGACTAAAGAACTCGCGCGTCAAGAGGGGATTCGCATCGTTGCCTTCGCTTTCGATTGATAATCACCGTGACCTATCGGAGTCAACGTGAAAATGGAGCAACACTTACCAACAGACACTCAGACGCATAGCCAGACAAACGCGCAAATATTACAAGCTTAAAAAACACAAGTACCGCGTACAGCATACAAAAAGTAAAACATACATAACTCGGAAGAACATAACACACATTTATAATCTGTGATTTGTGCCGCCTCAGAGAACAGAAGAAATTACCTTAACATAACTTATCGCCTCGTTCATCTGGAGAGTAAAGAAATCGTTTGCTCGGAATGTCTGTCTCTCGGAGGGCCATTCTCGATTACTGCCTCCGAACCACCGTCTGAGAAAACGTATAGGGGCCTATAGGCCAATATCTGTGGGGTGTGTTCGGTAGCGACTCGGAGGATGTAATTTGATTTGGCCGAGTGAATGCTCTCTCGATGAATACGGTGGACTGGCATTATGTGCGCACGCGCCATCATCCTAGCAACTTTTGAAACTTCCTTACTCCGTTATCCCATCGTCTGTTAGACGATGATTATATGTCTTTCAGCGTGACATTATTTCACCATATAGTTTTCGAAGATTTCTACCGTTTTTAGTTGTACTCCGCGTCCATGTGGATTCCTTGTCATACCCAACATGATTATGTTTAGTTAGAGATATCTCTAGTTTGAGGTGCAGACGCGTTTTATCAAGATTTCACTGCCCATATCCGTTTTTTCTGAGAGTCTGACGCCCGAAGAGATTCTGTACAGCGACTCTTTCGAAACGGTCGCTATTATAGTCCATGCCCGAGATGCATTCGGAGGCACCGTTCTGCGAGATTTCATTCAGAAGAGGAAAGTTGCGAATCTATACGTCTATGTTCGTACCTATCCAACCCCCCATCGCCATGGTCGTATCCTTCTCTGATTTTCCGTCACTTCAGAACCTCGCACATGGAATCCGGACACGACGGATGGGTTTTCCTTTCGCTGAGGTCGTTCTTTGAGCCACGGATTGAGAAAGTTCGATTGTGCTTTCTCACCCTTCCGTTCCGATGTCTCTCGGATCTCAATTCTAGTTTTTGCCTCGGGAAACTTTTGCAAATGGAGTTGATGAATGGGGTGATGCATACGATTCTGAAGCATGGAAGGGCTCAATCCACGATTCTCCTCGGGGATGAAGCGGTCGATCGACTATGACGATCGGTCAGAAAATGAGAGGTTGAGCCAGGTAGAGCCGAACGGGACTGGAAACATCAGAAACAGAGAGCCTCAAAGCGCTGCCAGCTTCTTTCTGATATTGTACATATTTGAATGGTTTCAACTGAGGGCATACATCTTACAATGAGCACGCGATAGTTTACATGCGGTCATCGAAAAGTGAACTTGAGAACTCTAGCCGGAAAATCGGGCGCACTCCACTCGATGCGCTAGCGCCGACTTCTCTGGAATTAGATACCTGTATTTTCGGTGTATTCAGATGATCATCGTGGAGGATCGAATCTCCGTTTCCTCGACGGACGTTCGGCTGGTAGATTTGAGGATATTTCACATGATTGAATATACGATCGATCGTCCGATTGATTGATGGACTGAATGAGTGAGAGTGGAAGTGTGTTTTTTCCCAATTAGATCACGAGTTAATACTGATGATAATTGTATATATTCCCGAAGTGTAAAGACCTGAAACGAGTATCTCTTCATACTCAGGTGGATCTACAAGCCTAAATGTAGCTCAGACGCATCCTGACAGAGATACAATATGTAAATGCGAGGAAGTGAATCATGTAAGCTAAAGTAAGAGGACATGGATATTTTTTTGAACACGAAACAGAGAGAGTCTAGCCATTCGCGAACGAATCATTCTTCAATCGCATTGCCTATTGTTGGTGGTCCCCCTCTCCTCTTCAACAGTGTCTCTACCTTGAACATGCTCAAAAAACACGGTGAATTCTCCATGAAGAGCCGGACCGGCTGACCAATTGGTGTTTCCGTGATCGCCTGTCTCTGTCCGTTCGGTGCAGATGCGTGCACCGTCAAGGCTTCTTGCAGCCCTCGCAGCTCCATTCGAGCCCCTGGCTCTCGCTCGTTTTCGATTGGAACACATTAAGCTTGCGGGATCATTTGAGCTGAGCGTTCCGGAGCTATCCCCTCGCTCGTCCGAGCAGGGGTTCTCGGAACGAGTACTCCACGAGACCGTATTTCGTGCTCGGTAAATTCCAGCCCGCAAGCTTGGATCGATGGTGCCTTGCTGATGGAAGGCTCGTTCAGTGCAAAGTTCACGAGGGCCGCGAGCTCAGAGAGATCGGGGAGTCAGTAATCAATCGATGAATGAGATCCTCGCTAATGAAGGATTGAAGTTGGACACACAGACGAAAAGGCACGTACATATACCGCGGAGACAAAACAGATACAGTGATAATTCTGAAAGTGCTACTTACTATTCGTAGTTCCGAGTTTCCCCAGGTTGTGCGTGAGGAGTCGAATGAGACTTTGCGCGATGAAGTCTGCGAATGAAATCGAGCCCAAGAGACAGACAGGATAGGAGAGCTCATGGGAGCAAGTAGATACATACAAAAGACAGGCGCCGAAGGCAACACCAACACTGAGGAATACCAACAACAATGAGGCGGCTCAATATAACCTGTTGTGTGGGAGTGTAAGAAAGCTCCGCATCTCGAATCAGATGCCGGACATACTATATATTTTCAAGCGTGCTACGTCAACTGTTCTGAATCGAGTTTCGGAATAAGGATCTGACAGTGACCGTCCTTTCAGCTTGCAGACAATGATGAACATTGAGACGATGAGTATTGAGAAATAGTACTGCTAATACACCGTGATCAATAAATTTGGAAATGGAACCGATAAACTGAAAATGGAAGTTCTCTTTCTGCGGTGCCCAATGCACCGTGCGGTCGAGAGCAGGGGTGCACTCGATCTTCAAGCGAGTCAGTCGATCATGCAGAAAACGCTTCGGGTGTTGATCTCTTGCTGATTTTCCGCATTCCATGCAGACTGTCCTCCCGGGAAGTTTGTCGCAAATATGATACCACTCGATCAATCCATCAACGATGCCGTCTCGGGAGTCAAAGAAGAATAAGTATTTTATTTCTACAACAGAAATGAGGAGTTCCGATGTAGCTCCACATTTGAATGCAGGACGCTCCTCTGGGGCCTGCGAGAGGGGCACCCGGAGAGCTTCGGGAGGAGTCGGAGGAGCCGACCTACAGAGAAGTACTCAAATCACAATGATCTCGAGCCCATGTCGAGATCCCTTCCCCTGGTATCGAGATAGTCTCCTTCTCCACGGATGAATCCTGATTCACGGAGCGCTCCCAGGCATCGACTCATTCCGATCACCTATGTACACTTCAGCCTTTGCCTCTTCGATGCGACTTTCAGATACAGCCGATGACGACCCCTGCTATTCTCCTTCTTTGATGGCGTCAATTACATATCGTTCACTATTGTCAGCTTGTGGGTAGATCTTGAGAGCATTAATTTCAGATCTCAGCGCTTCTTCTTGGAGCACATGTCCGAAACTGGACAGTTGCTGCGAAACTTCGTCGGGCAGCGGCGGTCTGGTGTCGGTGAAAACGATGTTCGGTGACAGTTGATGGTGAATCCTCGGGAGAGTGAATGCCTCACTGACATTATATCCTCGCAACAGAATGTTCGACAAAACCTGTAATCAACCGATTTTAGTCATTCAGCCGAGATCTCGAATTCGGTCGAAGTATTATTTGGCCCAACGAACGAGTCGATATGCGAGCAGTCACCTGAGCAGTTGTGGATATCATCTGGTTGCCTCCATTGTTAGCCGTAAGGGTCATGATGACTTCTTTGTGTGCGTTCTCCTTGGTCAACACTAGCAGCGGAGCCATAGCGCTGACAGGTCGCCGCTTCGGCGCATAGGCGTTGGTCGGAGCGGATTGCGATCCCATTTCGTCGTGTGCTCCGGCTTCGGAAAAACGGGTCAAGGCGTCGTTCATGATTATAGCAGTTCTGTCAAGGAGTATTCCACTGCCAAAGCTGGAAGGGGAGGAGGAGCCGAACTCCGTCATTTTATGTAGCGAGGAGATTCGCCGGAAACATTTCCAACAAATTCACCATCATCAGCATAAATGATGATTGACGTTGTAAGTGGATCGGTCTTATGACGCTTTGGGCAAGTCGGAATGGAAACGTTTCTCTATTGATCTATCGGAGCGCTTACGCTGAAGTGAGGCTCATCATTGCAATTGTCACATCGCCGTTGGTGTCGACAACGGCAATCGAGGCTGTATTAGACTCCAATTCTTTCGGGAGGAACACTCTCGTTCCGTAATTGACCGGGTAATTGTAGGTTTTGTGTGCCTCCTTGAGGACCCGCATCGCCGCGGATTGCACAAGGGATCGGACAGGAGTCGCGACGGGGGAGTTCCCTTTCACGGTGCCGTTCAGGAGGGATCTTCGCGCGAACGCGAATTTCAGGGCCTCCACCGTCGCATGGTAGGTATCTGCCTGATTTTTGGAGTCTTGAACTCGATATACTTCGGCGAGAATCGCTACCGCGAGCGCGACAGCCTCGCCCCCGCTCCCCGGGTTCGCCGAGTACACGAGTTCGTAGGTGTTCGCGGAAGACGGAATTTCGAGGGATCCCGGCCGGTGGATCAGAGGCTCGTAGCTCCTGAGATCTTCTTTCGATACCGTGACGTCTGGAGTTTTTTATATGAGGACCTTAATCGGACGCTTTCTTGCGTGAATTTGCTCTTGAAATGATGATCTGAAACACCTACTTCGTTCCTTCATGTCTCTCAGAATTTTTTCAGCGACATGGCCAGAGTAGAAATCTTTGTCTCCGAGAGTGCAGATGTAACGTAGCAGAAGAGCGTAGCTTTCCATCTTCATGGTTTCCTCCTCACGATACAGTCGTCCCGTATCCGAATTCGTGAAATATTGTCTGCAGGGAAGGGAAGTGACACCGAATTGCCTTTGTGGAGAAACCGTTGGAATTTTCTTGCGGGACTCGAATTGAGACAGAGGGGGACGTCGAACTTACTTCAGCTCTGGTGAGAGCCGGGCTTCGTGCTCCCGAAGATCGGACGCGAGCTTCTTCGAAACTGGGAAGCCGTTGCTCGCGAGGAGGATCGCCGGCAGAATTAAACTGCAAAAACCCAGCTGACCACCGAATTCTTGATGCCCGACGCCGAGACCGCGCAGGAAGCCAGGTACGGCGACCTGGAATATCGAGGCTTGGCCTTGAAGGGGGAGTCTTACGCTATCTCCCTTTAGCGCCCAGACCCTCGGACGGCTCATAGTGGAGAGAATCGTCAACTTATTTCTCATTCAAACCTTTGAATCTTGCTGCATGGAACTAGGAGCTTCGTCCAGGGCATCGAGGAAATACGCGTCTTCTTTAAAGTGCATTAGTATCAAGCCTCCTCCGAGTCCCGCGCTTTGGGGCTGCACAACAGACAGGCAGAACGCTCCAGCCACGGCAGCATCGATCGAATTCCCTCCAAGAGCCAAGGTCTCCCTTTAAGACGACGCCGATCTTGATCTAGGAACTCATTCAGGAAAGCCAAGCGTCAGTGTGCTCGATGAGCGAAGGAGAACAAGGGAATAGAATGAGAGCTCCAACCTTGCAAGACGCTCGCAGATGGGATCAGAGGACACAACATTGCTGCGAACTACGGTGACGTTCCGGTAGAAGAATGTGCTGTTGCCCTTCGTCACAATAAGCGACAAAACTATGATCGCGGCAATCACTACTAGAGCCAAAGCTAGAAAGATCAAGATCAATCCCCATCTGCAGCTGCCGTCTTCGTTGCTGCAAAATAAACTGCGGATGTTCGGAGGCTTTCAAGGGTTCGACTGTGCGGAATCTAGGATACTCACAGGTGACTCGCGTTGACTCACCGACAGCAGCCTGAACATCGCTCCCGCATTTTATTCACTTGGAGGTTCGGTATCGCCATGTCGTCGGCGGCGGCAGTTCCCCTGCACGGATTGGATATGGCTACGTGGTGTCAAACTGAGGACTACGGCCTACATCTGCAACTGCCAATTCTAGTCGGCAGATTCACGAGTTCACAAATCGAGAAGGAATCCTATGAGATGAACAAACCGTGACAATTCCGATGGCATCGACTACGTGCCTGAAGCGAGTCTTGCACCATTGATCGCCGATTGTGCCCGAGCAGAGAGTTATTCCCATTCCCGAATCGTGGCGTCACCATGGATCTTTATGCAATGAGCCTTTCCGACGGAAACGGATCCATTTGTAATGAGTTTGTGTGTGCTTGTGCGCGCACGAGCCTGTTTAGTCCCCAGGACAGCTTGCATTGATTAGAACAGAGGAAGGGTAAATCAAATTGCTACAGATTCATCCGCAGATTCCAACAGGGACGCAGTTTTTGTTGCGAAATGAGCGGGTAGGCCTTGAAACGAGAAATCGCCGCAAGATATTGTGGATTGAGGTCTGCATCTCCGCGGATTAGCGTTTTTCACCGATGATGTTTCCTGGTTGTCCTCGGCAATTTCTGTGGGATCGAACGGCGAGATGTTGATCTCGAGGTGCTACTCACGTAATAAGAAGACGCAAGGAATATGAAGTCGCATATGAGGAGCGGACTCAATTCACGGACCGCTATAACATAAATTCGCTCAGGGCAGGCGCGATCATCGGAGCCTAGAATCGGATCTTAGAACATGATCTATGGCTTCCAGGGGGGAAGTAATCGGGGTCAAGAATCAAATCGTAATGAAGAACAGGATTCTCGATTTGTTAACGTCTTTTATTCCCCCTTGAGAACTTTTTAACAGTGGGTATACCTCATCCGCTACAGTTTATTGAAGGACGCCATCCGTGTCCTGGGGCTCGTATTTTTTTCGGTGAGCCTCCCGTCGTATTAGGCTTATCTAAGTCCGACTATTTGACTGGATTCAACATTCGCTCTCTTATCTTCGATTTCCCATACGCTCGCCTTCCTTCTTCCGCTCTCCTCTCCCACGGCTTCCTCGGGCAGATCTTCGAGGTTCCGATCCATTCGTTCCAACTACAGCCTTTCTATCTGTGTCGCAACACCTGTCTTGGTATACTCAAAGTCAGATCACCGACTCGGTTTTCATGCTCGCTTCGGTGAGACTACAGTTGGAACAAGAACTCATGATGCGGCTCACCGACTAGTTCTTCCCGGAAGAGTGGGGCAAGTTCATCTACACGAATCAGTGATCGGATATGGAACCCTTTTTGAACAAGGATCCTGTCCCGTCTAAATCTCGGATTGAATGAGGTGCATTCAGTTCATTCAATCTGACTTCTCCGCTGGAAATTTGTGTCCTTCTCATCGAGGAACGAAGAGTCCGATTTCACAGATTCACCGACTCAGATTGTGACGACGATTAAGTTGGGAAGGGAAGCAACGTAGGAATAAGGACTTCCTCACAATATTTCTGGATCGCTCCTTCTCACTTTCTGTTTCCACAGTCTACTGACATTCTCGCACCCTTCCCACACCTCCAAAAAAGATATGTGACGCATGAATTATAAGGGAAAAATATACAAAGGGCACAACGCAATCCTCCGGCAAAGGCGGTGCGACATACGTCCCGCGACGGTCAGTACTATTCGTCTACTGCTGCATCTCGCCCAGCCGCCAGTCTTGCCTCGGTGATCGATGGTGATACTGCTACAGCTTTCTCGTTGAGAGCGCTGCTGATACTGTCGAGCCCGTCGAGCGGAGGGTCTAGATTTGAGTATTCGTCGAAGAATCGTTATGTACAAGTTTGAGATCACTTGGAAAGCCTTTGAAGTCACGCGGGCTCAGCGCAAGTCTGAATCCCTACGGCGCGTGGACTCGACTAGGATTGCTTGAAAAGAATATCAGTGAATCGGTTTCGTTTTCCTCGCACGGTATTCCTCTCGGGGATGGTCCGACCGAGTTGTACTTCCAGATATCAGAATGATCGTCGGAGGGATATGCATTGAACCCGAAGCAGCGACGCTCTGAACCGTAAGAGTGATTTGGCGCGTAAAAGTGCGTGCCGTATTCTGCCGCCACAGCCCCCGCCGGAGAGAATGTAAGGTACGATAGGCAAACAATTTGAGGCCAACTCATTTTTGTGAAAAGAACGCACGCGCAGAAGACGTTCGGCCTCGGTTACGTCTTCAAGTTCTTTCCCCGCGGACTCCTTCACGGATAGTCGACCAAGCGACCGTCCGATCGACCCATCAATTGAATGCGATAATGATAGAAACACTCAGATAAGCATCACAGTACAGGCGAACGAACCAAGACATGTACAGCTCATGATGTGGCCAGCAATACTTCATAGTCTTACTTGATCACGTATGCAATAAAGCCTATTTCTCCCCATGGTATCATTTTTTCTTATCTGCTTCATACTTATTACTCCGGTCAGCGCTGTACACCGTACCGTGAAGACTGCGCTTCTCGGTCCCGGAGGGTCCTAGAGCGGCTCAGATTCCCCTCGAACCCCGCCACCATGCAATTGCCATTTGTCCTTGTCTTTTTCACGTAGGTATTACTTAGAATTGGTAATGATTGCTTCTAACTTATCTGCTGCGGCTTCTCCCCAAACAGCTTCACCTGTGGTCTATATAATACAGTTCTGTCAGAGGATGGCTCGCCATCATCAGCCGTTCCGCTGTCGACATTGTGGAACGAAACGGGTGCGCCGATTTCGATCGTCACACCAGCGCATTCGATCCCCTCAAGTTCGAGATATGGTACAGAACGCCCTCACAAAGACACGAGCGCTCTGAGGAGCAACACGTGTGCGGTTCGATTTTTCCAGCCTGGAGAGATCCATTCAGAATAAATTCAAAATCCTATTACCGGCGCGTCTTTTTAGAGACGAGCGGCCGGGAAAGCCCTTTTGCATTTGTCCTCTGGTTCGTCTCGGAAACGTCTTCGAAATTTGAGTCATCGATGACGAGAAGGTCATCAACGTGATTTCGTTTTTGATCTCCTTTAGCGCTCGCTGCGTCGGTGCTCAGCGATCCCTATCGTTACGTTCCTTGTCGTCTGGGCTAGCGCGGAGCGAAGGCGTTGCTTCCGTCGCAGTCGTTGAAGAATTTGAGTTACTGGCCGATCCGTGAGGTGGAGTTCCATGCGCGGATCCGTTGCTGGTCAACTTCGGTCCACTCATGCCGTTGTCCGTTGAGTTCATGCAGCGATTCGGTGGGGCTGGAAAGACGAAGAAGGAAATTGAATGAACAATAATCCTTTCGAAGGGGTGAGATCGGCAGCGACGTGGATATCGCTCCATCCCCTGTGAGAATCAGCTAGCGACGTCGTCGAATGGCGGGGACGTCCACCTCATCATCGATCGGCTAGTTCCAATTGGAGCCCAACAGCGAGAGCATTTCCGTCGAGCAGCATATTGGTGACACTAATAAATTTCGAGGCGGCACCGTCCAAATGCGAGAGACGGGACGCATCATAATCGGTATTCGACTTGGGGAACGACAGAAGGACTGACGGTAACGAAGAGAGCAGCATCGACAAAGACGGCACCGACGACGAGTCTTGACAAAATCATCAATGGAGACATGGTTCGATATTCACGATGTCAGATCTCCCGTCCGTACATAATATACGAGATGGTGTCAATCGAATCTTCCGCTGGAATATTCAACAATCGACTCCGAAACTAGACTTGCCGACTAGCTCGCACGCAAACACACCAACGGCTTCAACGGGAAAGTGGTCGGCAGCCGGGCGACCGACAACGTGCGGGCTCGGATCGCGGAGCCGATCGGCTCCGTGCATGCTTGTCATACAGGAGACGGGGGAGCTGCGCTCTATGAGTTTGCGAAGGCGGTCGAGTATGCTATCCTTCGACGGAAGGAGGGAACTGTACTCACTGCTCTGAGGTTCACACTTCGGCTGTTGACTCTGCGGTTTGGGCGGCCACAGGTCGATGAGGTATTTGAGGATCTCGATCGGTTTTGGAATATGCGCCAACGCCTCGAACTTGCTATGACACATCAAGATAGGACCAAATGAAACCGCCAAGCTCTGGGACGTGACCTGTGGAAGCGATTAGGCTTTAGCACGATAGCATTCATAAGAGATTTGGCTCGGTGTAGATCAACGCGAATAAGTATTCCCTCTCCATATGGACGTGCATGTACGTCCAGAGTAGATCAGATTAGCCGTACATTCACTTGTGAGCATGAATACGTATCGAGTTCTCTCGAGGTCATTCTGCTCGATGGGTCAGATGCGTGCATTTATACTCTTGGTCGGCTTGCCTCAAGCCCTCGGAGTCCGTATGGGAGTTCTCCCGCAGGGCGCGAAAGATTCCCAGAGTTTGCTTTTGCTTTCTCCCTACCTTGTTGGTGTCGCTGTGCGCCGCGATTTGCTTGAGATGGTCGAGAAGGAACAGAGCAGTGGACCGATTGGCTTTCGGAAGACAATCGAGAATTCCGAACATCAGTTTGGCATTGCCGGTTGGATCATCTGGTAGGCACACGGACAAGCCGTCAGCAAGCATATCGAAGAGTCCCTTGGTGAATAACGGTTCAGGCAACTCGCGCAAATAGTCCTTGATGAGACCTGTAGCGGGGAAAATCCTCGTGAGTCCCTTTTGCGGCACCCCTCCTCCTCGCAAGACCATCTTCTTGGGTCCCGCTCTCGATTCGATAGCCTATTAAATGCCCGTCCATAATTAAGTATGTGTGTGGCTCGTTGCTCTCGCGGTGATGACTAAGCACATCGGTGGGTACAGAATAAACGATAGAGAGGGCATCGACGACGCCGACGACGGCGACCTATTTCTAAGGGGAGGAAGACACTTACTTGTGATAACATTGATATCGGGAACGTGCTCGGCGGTGAGGTCAACCGTCCAGGCGTTTCTCTCGAACGATTCCCGAAGGATTTTCTTTCGCAGAGCAGAGCCGCAAAGCCGATAGATTCCGACGATATCTAAGCCTCGCTTCTCGACTTCGTCGACGCAGCGCTTCAAAATCAGCGGCACCCCGTTTCCTAGCCAGAGAAAAAGAAGGACATGTCGAACAACGGTAGAGAATGAAATATCGTTATGCCACATGAGAGCCTATGCCTAGTCGTCGCTTCGCCGGTGGATATTCCCCTCCACGGCAACGGTTTATTTATTTTTTTTTCAGCTCCCAGAGTTGCGTGGCCGGCGGAGAGCTTTTATGACCCCTTGGTTGCTTCCATGGTTCGCTGTTTCTTTACACTCTGCTTATAGCTGCTGCCACTGGTATAGCCAGCTAGGTACCTCAATGCTCGGGCAAGGCTCGCTGGCGAACCCAGGAACTTCCCTTTCGGTCCGTTTCAGGCCTTCTGTTAGGGATTTTTTTCCCTGCCAGCACACAAAGCACAAAAGGACCATTTCCTCCGCGAACCAAGGTAGCGGACAAGCGGAGCGAGCAGAAATAAAGATAGCGCAACTGATATTACCTAATCAGGTGACAACAAAAAGCCGATCATCATTCCTCAGCCGGAGCCCCCCGTCTCGCCCCCGAGCGATCGCCCTCCCAGTAAGTTGATCTCATTTGCTGACCGTTCTACCTGGAGCGCTGACAGCGCGCTGAGACTCGATCGCGGCGCGCCCCCCACGTACACGTGGGATATCACTTGAAGAACTTCGGAAACTTCAGAAACGCAAAGGAAAAGGGGGCAGAAAATGTCCGGAAACGAATTAGCTTGAGGGTGGATCGGGCGCATGCTTCGACGACTCACCTTGTTCCCGGCCAATGAGAATATCCAACGGAACTCCGAATACACCGGACTGCGGCGTGGTCGAAGGCAATCTCTGGAACGTTTGCTTGACGTTCCTGTAACGCAGCTTGACGTACAACGAGCCTCGAGGCTCCAGTTTGAGGGCTATATTGTACACCGGCGCCTCCTTGAGGGCGCTCACGAGATTGATGGTGCCTTTATAACAAAGACGGTGACGTGACTGTGGGTCCCAACTATAGAGCAGAAAGGCAACGTTGATATTGTCAGCGAGGTCCAGTTCGAACACTTCGTTCCAGTCGAAGGAGTGGTCTCCGGTGCGAACCACTGTGCGGGCTTTGTGAACTCGATCGCACTCGATGACGCAATACAGATCTCGGAAGTGCGCTTCCTTGTGGGTTCCTAAATGGAATGCAGTGACAAATGTTCAAGTCTTTCTATTTCCGAGTGGCGCTTCCTTCCAACCGACCATCTGAACGGTTCTTCCCTCCCGGAGCCATGAAATGGATTCTCCGATCATCCATTTTTCAAGCCTAATTCTAGCTCTCTCATCAGGAGTCACTTTCTGATTCCGCAAGGACGGGGGAAAGTGAGTCCCCATCCGCGAGCTGATGGCGGCTTCGGGATTTTCGGCTCAGCAGAACAATAACTACGAAATCGTCTCGTCGGACTCACCAGTTGCTCTGAGGCCTCGAGCCGCCAACAGATGCACCCATAGCACACCCGACAGAGATCCCGGAGCCGTCATCTCAACGTCCGTTCGACTGCCGTAATTCTTTTTGAACAGATCTCCCCTTGAGCCCAGCGCAAGGCCGGTCTTATCAGCACCTGCGAAAAGCGAAATGTTGCGAGTCTTTCATTCGGGGCTTCCTTAACTCTCTTGTAAGTATCTCTCAGGCTTCCGCAGATCGAATGCTGCTGCGGGACTCATGCCCCTCCATTCCATCAAGCGCTGAATGACTTCAGTGGGTCGCATGTCGCGGCCGACTCGGTAAAGTGAAATCAGGCGAACGACCGCTTGAACGCCTCCTTAATCATATCATCACGATTCGAGCGCACCTGGTCCCCTGCCCCACTCACCGCTCAAGTGTGGAAGTTTGATGTAATCCATGCTGAAGGCGTGTGGAAGATTATTCTGACGGGAGGCGAAGCCGAGGGCCGATCTCGATCGGCCCAACGTAGCAGCGGATCCGGCAGCAGCTAGGATTCTGTTATCCTGACGAAGGCTCTCCAACAGCGAATCTGTCGAGTGGGCAGCGATCCTGGGCAACGACAGATCCTTGCGCAGTGAAGTCGTTGACAACTTACCGGACAAGGAATCGTAGCGTCCCGGAGAGCTTCCAGCGGACTGTCGGCGACGCCGTTCCTGCAGCGAGCAGAAAAACATGAAAAATTCCATCGTCGACGTCTGCGAGCTTCCCACGAGCGAATTACTCGTTCACACATAGCCTTAGATCAAACACTCATGATGATGAATCGTCGAGATTGGGATCTAACGAGTGTTCGACATTCGAAAATTGCTGCGCGGAAAGTTCCCGGATTTTGAAGGAATGTCTCTCGAATCTGCGAGTGCTTCCAGCTCGTTCTCCACGTCGTCCCGACCCGATACAGAGAGGCAAGAAGAGGTCGGGGGAAATTTGAATCACCACCGATGTTTCGGATCTGGGTATTCCTCTAGCCACAGCCCCACAGCCTTCAGTCCGAACATTGAACGATAGATAATGAGGAAGCTTCTGTCTGAGTGAGCGGTTTCGGGGATGCTCCGATCGCATGCACTCTCTCAAATTTTCTCCGCCTGTTCCCCGAAAGACCCACCTGTAGATCTTGCTCTTCATCTCCATAACGGCTCAAGCTCTGTTGACGACGGTATTCAGACTCAGCAGCAGCCATTGCGGCTGAAATGATTCCGGCTGTTCGTACACGAGGCAGCGAATTGCTCCCTCCCGTCGGGCGCTGGATCCCGCTCATTGAACGTGGCATTCCTCGTCCAAGCAAGATGTCTCGGGATGAGCACATCTCGGTGTCGGAACTCGACTCCATCAATGAAGCGCGCCGGATCCCAGCAGCAGCTGCCGCCGCAGCAGCCTGTTCGGGGAAGAACGAAATCAGAAATGAGGGAAAACTATGGACGCAGCCTTTTATTAAACCTCGGCGTAGTTCTCTCCCGGAACAAGATATGGCCTTTTCCCGCGAGAAGAGCTCCAGCCCTGTGTCGGCCGAACTTTTGCTAAATAAATCAATCGACCGAAAGAGACAGGCCAATCCCGCGACGCGTTCCAAGATTAACCTTGGCCTTCTGGTGGGTTCCTTTCTTCCTCAGATGAAGGCGGAGGTAGTATCACAAGCGAGAAAGTGGGAATATATCTAATGTGCTGATTCATCGTTCTTCGGAGCGAGACTCCGCAGAGAATATTGTGGACGGGGAAAAGCCGACTCGACACAGGAAAGAGAGTCCCTGCTGGTGAGGTCGTTCGGAGAACTGCCATGCACGCCCTCCCGGAGCGTATGAGATTCGTCGGTTCGCTTGGTCGCCCATGGAGCTCGGGACGCCTTGAATCCATTCGACGACGGTCCGGGGTCGAGTTACTGTTTGAGAAAGTTCGAAGACGGCAGAAGGAAGCCGAGTCTCACCTGAAGATTCTGTCTACTCGCCGAAAGATACGGATAATCCTCTGCCGAATATCCGGCTGACGTTCCCGGCCTGCCTAGGGTTTTGCTCTGCAGGGGAGTTGTCGGACCCCCGCTGGTTATTTTAGGTCTCAGGCTCAACGAATAGTACCTTTTGGAGATGGGAGAGAAGGGAATAGAACGTGTTAGGGTTGCGTCTCGCTCGAAGAGAGAGCTCGGAATCGTCACATCTGGATAACTCACCGATCGAATGAGTTCTGCCTCTGGTTTGCGATGTTCGCGGCTCCTTGGGCTAGGGCGGCCGCTGCAAGTCGCTGTTCGCTTTCAGTTCTCATCATGGCTCTATCAGCCGTCATGAAACGTCCCTGTCGCGACTGAGGTCTCTCGGGCTGACCGACGCGACTCAGCGACTTGGAGTAGTCGTAGTTTTCGTGAACTCGTCCTGCCGGCGTTGACCCTCGCGGCGTTGTGCCGAAAGTGTGCACTTGGTCCGCAAAGTTGTCCAACGTTTTCGGATACTGATGCTGCAGTTTTGGCTGAGTTGATTGTACTGAAACACGGGCTCCGAAGCCGTACGGGTCCTCGTAGCCGATCGGTACGCCGGGAGGTTTGTAGAACTCTCGCTGGCCGTCGTCGTCCTGTTCGTTCATGTCCTTCTTGATGACCACGACGGGTCTGGGCCGGTCGAGCGTGTTGCCGTAGGGGTTCTCTTGAACCTGTTGTTGTATCGATGCGGTGGGGAGGTGCTGTTGTTGTTGATGTTGTTGTTGCTGAAGCTGTTGTTGGTGCTGCTGCTGTTGATGCTGCTGTTGGAGGTGGTGAGTAGGCGGATGGGATGACGCGCGAATAGTGAGAACGAGACGTCGCGGTATAGACATAATTATAACAACATCGTCTAGACTCATGTGACGAACGTCTACGAGGTTGACCGCGAGAATCTCGTCGCCCACTTTTAGCAGACCGGACGAGTAGACCGCGCTTTCGATAGCGATCCTTGAGATGTAAACGCCCTCGTACGTGAATTGGGCGTCCCCCTCGCGAATGTACAGCCCTAGCGTTTGTCCAGGCCGCTTAATGATTTCTACGAAGCGTATGGCATGCGAGGTGGCCGCGGCTTCAATGTAACGTCGCCCGAATTCTTGACCGACACGACCGAGTGATCGAGGGTCCAGCAAGCGAATCACCATCTCACCGCGTCTCTCAACCAGCTCCATATTCGCCGCTGTCTGGGCGTCGTATGAGTTTTCCACAGCTTCGATTTGTCTGAACACATCCGTTGAAATTCCGGAGATTTTCCGGAAATCGCTCTGGATGACCATTTCGGGCACCTGGCCCGGAGCCAAGCGGCCTCTGCCGAGCGGGGCCGAAATACCATTGCCCATCGGTTGACCACCTCCCCCACCGCCGCCACCACCGCCGTGGAATTGGCTTCCAGCCATCCCTCGACCTCGGCCCGCGCCTGTCGACATGTTGTAGAACAGGTGACGGCCATCGCTGCCGTCGACACCGACGGCAAACTCTGTTTCATGCGTGTCCTGGAAAGGGAAGAGAGAAAGACGAATCTTTTAAAGAACGTTCCCACCAACACATCCTGTTGAAACCTCATAAGCGTTCCGTCCGAGCGTCGATCGGAGTCGAACGAGAACTTCCGGAATTCGCATCCTTCTCTGTCAGCTCGCCGCCGCCCGCCTTCGGAGCAATTTTCCGCTGCCAACGCCTTCCGTGGAACTCTTCCCCTCCGCATCCCCCTCCAACGGAACGTGATTCTTTCGAGCGACCGGGGAGCCTGAGAGGGATACCGCTTAGGATCAAATGTCAATCCATATATATGTACCGGAAAAGGCAACAGAAACAGAAATGAAAGATATCGAACCAATTGATGGTTCCGTAACTAGCCGGAGTAACGACGACGACGCAGGAGATCGTCCGAAGGAGGGAAAGTCCTCGACGACCGACATAATGTGATAACGAAACGATTGCCCCGCGTGAAGGCTTGTTAGGCCTCGGTGGGACGAACCGCGGCCGTCGTTGGAACGGTCGGCGACTTGTATTCTCCTGCGCTCGTTTTTCTCCTCGGTCTGATAAGTGTAATTTAGTCCCTGGAATGGCTCCGCCCGAAGATGGGGGTCACAGAGGAGGCCGACGACGCTAGACTCCGTCCTCGGTTCCGTCACTCATTCGAAGCAGCTGCTTTCGTTCCGATGCCAATGTTCCTCCGGTGGATCGCTCGCTAAAATCGTGAGCTGCAGATTCCGCGAGCGACGGCGTGTCAGATCGAGTCCCGGCTATCCCTGGAGCGGATTGGACCCTCTGCCCGATCGCCAAGGGGGCGACCTTGCAATTATGTCGAAAAGGGGAGGCTACCGCAAGATGAAGAAAAACAACGACGCACAAATAATAATCGACGTGCTCCAACTTTTACGCCTCGCCGAGGAAAGATTCAAGGCAGAACAGCAGCTGTATCGAATTCCAATGGTGGCACGAACGAGGTGGCGTGCTTCTCTCGGCCGCGGCTACTCAGTCAGTCAGGGGAAAAGAAACGACCAAGGCACAGCTGGTCAGCAAACGAACTATGCACTGCACGAGATTGTATCTCCGACGTCGAAATCCTTTGACGCCCACTCGCAGATCACGTGAAACGACTCAATTCAGAGAGCCAGACTGGATCTTTTTCCCCAGAGCTCAATAGCTTTCGGACGGATCATATTCGTGCCGGATTCGGAATTCTCTAGAATCGCGACGGTCAGAGCGAGGTCCCCTGGAAGAATGCTCACCTTTCTTCGTCCGCAGCAAAACATGGTGTCTGCCAGTAAATGGGTGAATTTATCATGAAGAGGTGGAATCAGTCTCGGCGAGCTCTGGTGCGGGAGCAAATGAGCGTTTGGTGCTCCGCCGAACTGCAGGTTTTGCCCTGGTCCGTTGGCCGTTGCAATGTGCCCTCCCGAGTGAGATCCATGCCCCCCCAAATACTGGTCAGCGAGCAGCTCATTCTTCAGTTTTTGGTCCGTAATCACTGTTGTCTGACCTGAGGGGGGAAAAAGGAACGGTTTACGCAATTCTATCGGAAATAAGATACGAAGGAATTCCCTTTTCCTTCCGAAAGGATCAGGAAACCTGCGAGCGATTGAGGCTCGCTCTTGTACTGATGATTTGCTTCCGACCATCGTTGCGAAAACCCTCTAGCATCCACTCCCGCGAGGAATTACTCCCAGGGTAAAACACCTGGGTCGCGACGTTACTGGGGCTTGATGATGGCGCGAGGACGCGTTCGACGTCTCACCACCAAAATGCATTCAGAAAGAATCGCCACGCACGGTGACGATTGACTTTCGTTAGAGATCTTCACTCTCATCACTCATGACCAGGAGGTCGAAGTCCATGCCAAATATCATACCAGAAGCTTACCTGATGATTTAGTGTGCCAATCCTCAAACGTCATCGGACGATGCTTTACAGAACCAATTGTTCCTCAAAATCAACGAAGTAACGTACAGATGATGGACTCTCTTCCAGACGACTCTCTTTTCGACTCAGCGATGAGGCCCACTGCGGCATCTCAGTCTGCAAGAGATGGTGATCAGTGAGATTCCCCGCGTTCAATCTGTGGACTTTCGGTATCGGACTTCCAAGCACGTAGTTTCTACGACGGCCTCAAGGTCTCTCTCCGACTTTTCCTTTTTGTTTCGTCCGGATTCGCCCCGCATGTCGAAGCAGGAATCGCTCTCCCTTTGGACACATGGGTCCCGAAAAAAATCTCCCAGTACACCGGTCTCAAGAGGCGGGACAACGTGACGCGGCACAAGAAAAACCTCAGTCAACCTGCTCTCCCTGCCGTAGCGTCTCTCGGAGTTTGTTCGGTTGAAATACGGTCCCGCCGTGCGCTAATTACTGGATTCGCAGATCACTCTGGGGAGCGTTCTCTTTGCTTGACCGGCTGCCGGAGTCCATCGTTGGTTAGACCCCTCGCTGGACGGCTCACCCGTCGGCTCTTCTTCGGCGTCTACCGCCAACCACCGGGCGACGCGAGAGGGCCCGCAGTTGGAATTACGGATCGATTTCGTGCGCTCGATCCGCCGCCAGAACTGCCTCATCGAGAACTACCAAAGCCTCCTCTTTCTCTGCCGGTGACTCACCGAGCGTGTGACTTGCTTGCTTGGTTGGTTAATCGGATAGTTAGTTACAGAGACCTTCTGCCTCCTGAGAGTCCCGAAACGATGTAGCTCACTCGACCGCCCCGCTACCCCGGCGAGCTTCGCATAAATCGCTTCTCCGGCAACACAAAAGAGCGATCCCACGCTTATTCCCGACAATCCGCACACGTCATCAAGGCCCACCGGTGTGGTCGCTCCATGATCATCACAGGCCCCGTCACTCTTGGAAATCGAATTGAGTTTCTATGAATAGGACCTCCCACTGCAGAACTTGTTCCATCATCAGATTCATGAGCTGGACTCCAGGAGCTGCTGTGGTTTGGACAATCGGACTTCGAGAGGGAGTTCAAGGGACGAAGGGAAAGCGTGATGACGAACGAAATCTCTTCGACCTCGACGTAGTCAGCCGTGAGAGAACCGTCTGTAACCCGCCTGGCTCCCAGGAGGTGCGAACAAAGCGAGACTATTCTAGAGCCCTCATACGAGAAAGATTTCCCCGCGAGGGTCAAGAGGGAAGACACCGCCGTTCAACCATCGAGACCAAACTTGAAGACATTCCAGATATCGTATCTCCCGAGGAGTCAGGAAGGGCGAGGGGGGCTCTCTCCGGTCTCCACGGGCGCCTCGCCGCTCTATTCATTTATTGTCCCGAATCCATCTTCATTCTCTAAGAAAAAAATGCCCTTTCCAACGAAAAAAAACTACCTCAAGAAAATAGCGAGTCCGTTCCGGGCCGAAAACGAATCAAGGATCAGATTCCTGTTTGCTCGAAACAGTAATGGATGCACACTAGCGGAACTTCGATCTCGAACCCTCCCCATCCGATGGTGAATTACGGGACCCCTCCATTCAATCTCAACTTGGTTGGACCTCTAAGCCCCAGCATCTCGGGGGGAAATCGGCCAACAATGAAACACTCATCGGCGAGAGTTCCCTTACCATCGATTCGTAATAAGCTCATGGGGAGATAAATCGTCGACGGTCCATCTTTCGGAGCCTGGGCTCCGAACAATCGGGTGTCCCGCTGTGGGAACGAGGCCCCAGGTAGCTCGATACAGCTCCCTGCTCCAGGTTCTCTTCCCGACTGAGTGGTGACGACGTCAGCGGGCTCCGTTTAATGTTCTTTCAGCTCGTCGTCCGAAGGCCATTAGTTCCGAGCGGATAACGACAAAAAAAACGGCGAGAAAAATCTACGAGAGCATTTCTCAAGCGGCATCCGACGTGCACTCGGCGAATGCGTTTATTACCGAAGCGGCGACCGAGAGCTCGATCGCCCATGCGGTCGAGTTTTATGTGCCTTGCTAGCTACGATGCTTGAGGAGAACCCGCTCAGACGCTCGAACGGCGAGAGAAAGCGATGCTCGCGGTCATGTTCCGTGCCGAGAGCGTATTTCTCAATATAAGTCCTCCGAGTTCTTCTACGTCTGCGCTAAAAACAATAACACATGGGAGGCAAACGCCAGCAAACCCACAAATGACCTGATATGAATCCTCGACGACCGCCTCGAGTCGGGCCGCCCTCAGTGAAAGGGCTACACACGCTCAATGTCGGACGAGCTGGCCTCGCTCGATCCGCTCGTCGACTGTCAGCGGACTCGGTGCGGGAGTACGATTGAGAAGCGTTTGGGCTAGAGCCTATCGATGTGCGGCCGAGTAATCACGACGGACGTCAGGTCCGCTTGTCCGATGGAAGGGGCGACCGTCCGCCTACACCGGCGAACAGACGGTCGGTCGGCCGGCGTGCGGGTCGGCCAACCAGCCGCCCGCTCACCGCAAACGATGACTGACCCACTTACTGCACGGCTTACCTCACGAGGGGGCCTGTTCGATAACTCTCATGCAAATCCCAGAGAGAAGACTGCTGACTCTTCCTCGCCCGCTCCTCGTTTTCCGCCTTTTCACCTCCAGGAGCTCACAGTCCCGTCATCGCCGTACAAGGCATCTGGCGATCGCTGAGAATCGGTTCAAACCATCTGCGACTCGGAAGGAGTTCTCTCATCGTATTTCTGCCGATTTTTATTATTCCGAAAATCGAGAACCACGTTCGACTTGCCACCGGCTCTGGACCCTAGGAGCCGATGGAGTCGAGATAAGTGGAGCGCATATTCCACACGGGTGCATTGAGTGCCTGCCGGAGAAGCCCGCGGCGCTTCCCCTTCTCGGAGGAAACCCTTCAAGGACTTCTTCCCGTTCGCCCAGCGCGTTACTGCCGCGACTGACCGCCAAGCCGGCCGGCCGGCGGGTCGGCGTCTCTCCGCGAGCAAACTGGGCTATTGCTTCGCTGGTTCTTCTCAAGGAATCGGGGCATCAAATTGTGAGACCATTCAACATTTCCGAGGATAACGAACAGCATATGCTCCAAGGGTAATGCATTAAAGAATAACATCGATCCGCCGGCTCTAGATACCCGCCCCCACACCACTCCCCCGCTCTGCCCACGTTTGCCCTTTCGCTGCGCTGACTGTCCTCCTGTTCACCCTTGAAGATGCGTTCAGCTCGAGTGGTACAACAAACATCGAGCAACAAACGGTTTCGTTTAAAGCCAATGTATTTTGGGAATCGCAAACCTCCCGCTGGTCCTGTTTACTGAAGGTTCCAAAATCTCATTAGATTTGAAACAGGATCTGCACCATCGTTCATACGTGGTGGAGCTCTTCCTTCTTTAAGCCTCTCATGAAAGGAGCATTGCGTAACTCGTGGGGGCTTCTCCGTACGAATCCGCGTGATTCCGAAGTCGCGGTGTAGATCCATCGACTTTTTATCGTTTGGAACAATCGACGGATGATTCAGGAGGAGCCCTCCGAGGAGATATCGTACGGGTATTCCGCAGCCGTTTCCCAGAGGGATACGGCCATTCCGAGGAAGCCGGGAGAACACGCGGACCACAAGTTGGCGCCCCGCCAACAAACTCCCACTGCCGATTCCGACCTCTCAAACGAACTTTAGACGCGCTTTCGAAAACGGCTGGAGTTTCTCTCGACGGAAACTCGGAGCTTCCCGACGGAAACTTCCCGATGAGACGTTTCGGTCGATTGATCGTTCACACCGAGGGCTCTTCGAAGCCTCCCTAGTGAAGCCTCGGCAATGTTCGAACATTCCCCCGGGAGAGTAAGTATTCCTCCGTCGAAGCTCGCTCGCCCGACGAGGATCTCAATCGATGAGAAGCTGAAGAACGCTTCGGAAATTTCCTGTTCTCGCTGCGAGGAACTAAATTTAGCCAGGCAGACGGCTAATGACGCGAAGATTCGGGGGCTGTTCCGAGCACCTCCTTTCACTCGAAATCCGTGAGAACTCACCTCATATCACCGGCAACGAAAAACAACCGAGTTCGATCGTGGGACGAACTAGTAAATCACATTAAGGGAATCAGACGGCACTTTGAGCAGTCACTGAGAGCGCATCCGAACGTACACAGCCGAACACACACTGCGGGGCATGGCCTAAACTGTGCGTGAGATTCACTTCTGAGCGCTTTGTATTTGCCTGCACGCGATCCTAGCGACGGGTTTTAGCTCTCCGAAGCTCGGAATCAAATCGAACACTTGTCGAAAACTACGAAATTCGCAGAAAGTCGCTTCGATTGCTGAGAGTTGTCGTAAGCTGAGCCTAGAGTCCGTGCTCCTCGATGTTTGTGGAGTCCATGTCTCTCCTTCTCTCCGTTTCCCTCAACTCGTCGCGCAGCCTCCGCGGAGCTCCCAGGAGTCGCTTAGCTCCGAGCGAAAGGACAACATGCAACGAGGACGAGCTCCTGCCAACTTCAATCGATTCTCCTTGGACAGCGAGCTCGGTGGCTCCCTCTTGTGAGCAACCAGTGGATTCGCTCCTCCTGACGCGCCTCATCGTGCAGTACTCGGGATCGAAGATTCTCTTTTGAACTTACCTTGGCCTAGGAAGAGCGAAAAAAAATAGAGGAGTCGCGGACTGCTCACCGAGCGATGAGCAATCAAGAGCAACTCTTAACTCACAGTCAGTCAGCATCATGAAGAGTAACAATTATTATTATATCCGGTTTCCTTATTCCCTCGACAGTTCACAGAATGGATCATCCGCAACGAGACCTTATTCTCAAGCAACACGACGCACATTCGTTTTGACGAAAGATTTCAATTTTCATTATCTGCGGTATCTGCCTCAAACGTTTGACCTGATGTCGGTCTGAAATCTTCTTCGGAACGACGAGCTGAGTTGATTCTTCTAGAATCAAGACTCCTTATTCCAGAGATTTCGGGAACGTGAATGAAAAGACACTCCCAGATCGTTAGCGAACACGGAGAGGCTCCACTTCCCC